GCCATATGAGTCACGAAGGGCAGCTGCTGGCTGACTGGTCCACGCTTCCCCTTCAGGGAATTACTCACATGCCCCTACAGCCCGCTCTGTGTCCCGGACACAAGAGATATGTCAGCAGCAGCAGCAGCCCAAGTGTATGCTGACCTCCAGATAAACAAAATATAGTGACTTCCGTTTCTGGCCACACACCCTCTAGTGGCCAAAAAACAAAAGAGCAAGTACATCTTGGGAAAAACAGTGAGCACTCCCCCTGGTGGAAACTCACAGTCACAACACCTCTCCTTTTCCCTTCAATTTAGAGATTTGTCTGTTTCTCTTTACAGAGAGAAAAAAAGAAGACCTTCACCCATCACAGCAGGCATTGTCATACAGACCTTCAAGGACTCAGTCTTCATGCTGAGGGGCTACTGCCTCGGACCCGTATAGCACCCCGCTGGAAGCGCCTTGGTCAGATTTTAAAACTGTACAGGGTTCCATCTTTGTGGGGTCCAGTGCCATAAGGCTGCGCTACAGGCAAAACCTCGATGATTCTTCTCCTTATCCAGTGGGGCTCGGGTACCATCCATTTTAGCTCATAGCCTTCCAAATGGATCCGATTAAAGTCCCTGATTTTCTAATGGAACCGTTCTGGACTCTCAAGTATGCTCCATGAGCACAGCAACACTTTCAGTGACCTTCCACCTTACATACACTGGCCAAAAAACTGAGGTACCTCCTTTATAGGAGTATAGGAGGGGTTATATGGGGAGGACCTCCTCTCTGATTGGTCGGCCAGTGTCCATTCACCTATAGGTGGCCTGTAACCCACAGTCATGAATAGCCTGTTTTGTGGCCCGTGATGTATGATAAAGAAATATATATACAGTATGTGCAGCAATCCAATTTTCATTTTTCTATATGTGGCCTTTGAGAGGGCCTGATTGCCATGCACTGTGATTGATCATCGTTGCGCACTCCACCCATATTACTGCTTTATATACCCTTGTGTCTGTGCATCGGTGCTTTTGGAATCATTTCAGTGACGTTTGCAGGATCATTTTCCTATACAGATGAGGATGCAGCTTGGATCTTCACTGCTACTGTTGGATCAAGAGATTTCCTAACAGACACTTCGATTTCACAACTTACACGGAAACTAGACAAATCTTTACAAAGATTAACATCTCTGGAATTGCACAAGGTCACCTTGGCTGAATATTATAAACAGCAACTTATTCCAGAGGATTTTGGGTGAGGATTGTACCTACTTTGTTTGCACAAAATGATGAATTTAAAAACCAATTCATTAAGATCATTAATAAGTGCTCATTTGTTTTGATGTCTCTGATTGTTCAATTTTTACAAGACCGCACCTCTTTGTCACACCAGATCACAGATTTGGAAACAAAACTGAAAGAATTAATGAGCCAAGATGATTTTCTGAAATCTAAACAACAGAGCAGTGAGAAACTTGTGTCTTTCAGGAAAAATATTGATATAAGAAAGAGGTCTAAACTTGAAAGAGATCGAGATGATTATCTCAATAACCGGGTCTATAATTGGACAGATCCTGGTTGGTATTGATTTAGACCATTCAGATGAGCTCATCGTAATCCACAGTTATCTGCCTCATCATCATCTATGCCTTCTTCTGGATCTTCTGCCAACACTTCTAGTGGAACAATGTCCTGGGGACTCAGGAAGACAAGGAGAGGAGGGAGAAAGAAACAAAAGTACAACTTCAAGGGGAATTGCAACCCGGACAAGGAACAGACAGAGGACTTATTTACATAATCTAATGTGGTACCTAATATTGCATCTGTTGTACTCTCAGATATTGAATTATATGTCTTGAATAAGGTGTTACATTGTTGTCCCAAAACTACAGTGGGGATCGAAAGTTTGGGCACCCAAGCTAAAAATTTGTATTAATGTGCATAAAGAAGCCAAGGAAAAATAGAAAAATCTCCAAAAGGCATCAAATTACAGATTAGACATTCTTATAATATGTCAACAAAAGTTAGATTTTATTTCCATCATTTACACTTTCAAAATAACAGAAAACAAAAAAATGGCGTCTGCAAAAGTTTGGGCACCCTGCAGAATTTATATCATGCACTGCCCCCTTTGCCAAGCTGAGACCTGCCAGTGTCATGGATTGTTCTCAATCATCGTCTGGGAAGACCAGGTGATGTCAATTTCAAAGGTTTTAAATGCCCAGACTCATCTGACCTTGCCCCAACAATCAGCACCATGGGTTCTTCTAAGCAGTTGTCTAGAAAACTGAAACTGAAAATAGTTGACGCTCACAAAGCTGGAGAAGGCTATAAGAAGATAGCAAAGCGTTTTCAGATGTCAATATCCTCTGTTCGGAATGTAATTAAGAAATGGCAGTCATCAAGAACAGTGGAAGTTAAAGCAAGATCTGGAAGACCAAGAAAAATATCAGACAGAACAGCTCGCAGGATTGTGAGAAAAACAATTCAAAACTCACGTTTGACTGCACGATCCCTCCAGAAAGATCTGGCAGACACTGGAGTTGTGGTACACTATACCACTATAAAGAGATACTTGTACAAATATGGTCTTCATGGAAGAGTCATCAGAAGAAAACCTCTTCTACGTCCTCACCACAAAAATCATTGTTTGAACTTTGCAAATGAACATATAGACAAGCCTGATGCATTTTGGAAACAAGTTCTGTGGACCGATGAGGTTGAAATTGAACTTTTTGGCCGGAATGAGCAAAGGTACGTTTGGAGAAGAAGGGGCACAGAATTTAATGAAAAGAACCTTTGTCCAACTGTTAAGCATGGGGTTGGATCAATCATGCTTTGGGGTTGTGTTGCAGCCAGTGGCACAGGGAACATGTCACGAGTAGAAGGAAAAATGGATTCAATAAAATTTCAGCAAATTTGGATGGTAACTTGATGCCATCTGTGAAAAAGCTGAAGTTAAGAGAGAGGATGGCTTCTACAAATGGATAATGATCCTCAACACACCTCGAAATCCACGGGGGATTACATCAAGAGGCGTAAACTGAAGGTTTTGCCATGGCCTTCACAATCTCCAGACCTCAACATAATTGAAAATCTGTGGATAGACCTTAAAAGAGCAGTGCGTGACAGACAGCCCAGAAATCTCAAAGAACTGGAAGACTTTTGTAAGGAAGAATGGGCAAAGATACCTCAAACAAGAATTGAAAGACTCTTGGCTGGCTACAAAAAGCGTTTACAAGCTGTAATACTTGCCAAAGGGGGCAGTACAAGATATTAACTCTGCAGGGTGCCCAAATTTTTGCAGACGCCATTTTTTTGTTTTCTGTTACTTTGAAAGTGTAAATGATGGAAATAAAATCTAACTTTTGTTGACATATTATAAGAATGTCTAATCCGTAATTTTATGCCTTTTGGAGATTTTTCCATCTTTCCTTGGCTTCTTTATGCACATTAATACAAATTTTTAGCTGGGGTGCCCAAACTTTCGATCCCCACTGTAAGCTGGATACCTGTCAGGAATGGACTTGCCAGTAATGGTGGGACTCGCCTGCCTTGTGGGCTGCAGTACCAGGGCTGGCCAGCGGGTGCTCCCAGCAATCAGAGACTCAACCCTGCAGCCAGCCAAACACCTGAAGTTGATTATACAGGTGTATTTAAGGGATGGCCAGACCTGCAGTCTCTGCCTTGGTGTGTGTTTTTCCTGGGCCCTGTATCTTGTTCCTGCATCCCTGTTCCTGTCCCTGTCTGTCTGATTGATTCGTGGCTGACCCTGCCTGATCCGGACCTCTGCTGACTTCTCCTGTTTCATCCCTGGCTTGTGACCCCGACCATTCTCTGCCTGACCCCCCTGTACCTACCTGCCCGATTGTTATTGACCCGGCCTGCCTGACGACGCTTGCATTGTATGTACTGTTATCTGTGGGTGGTTTGGGTTCGTTTGCACTGTTATGTTTTAGTATTGTACTGCGTTTATGTTTGTATTGTTAGTCTTTAATAAATTATATTGTTTATAACTTATCTGAAGCCTGCGTTTCCCTACGTCAGTCACATACCTCTGGTCACACCCCGGAGCCCTGACATTACACCAAGGCCAATCCTGACCAGAAGTGGCTGCGCAGGGAAGCCATCTTGGCTTGTTGCTGGGAAGGATGGATCTTGATGAGGTTGTGTATTTATCTCTGCTAGTGCTTGATGACAGAGAGTATCCCAGGGATGAACTGCTAGAATGTATATACGGATCGCTCATTGCCTAGTAGATCAGGGCACAGAGTTCTCTGAGGTGCAGCCATTGATTCAGGTTTGTGCTGAGTTGGTTTCATCTGGTACCCCCGAATGCAGGGATGAATTTTTGCCGCCATTTAGTGCCGACCAGGTAGAGTCCCTGGTATGGTTATTAGAGGATGATGTGGATTACTTTCTGGAGCGTTATTCTGCATGTTCACCACAGGTACTAAGAGATTGTATAAACGCAGTGCAGTCATTGACCAGACAGGCTTTGTGTAAACTGAGCTTTGTTCAACCCATACTGCAGACATGGTCAGACTTGTTGCACCCAGCCTCAGTCAGCTTACAACATCATTCCTCCACTCAAAGCACTCTTCCTGCATCCCCGACAGCACCCCCAGTGACTGCCCAGTATACTCTAACTACCACATACCAGTCCTCTGCTCCCACTCGCTGCACCTATCCTTTCTTTAACCCTGTAAAGAAGTCCTCTGTAGCAACTGGTCCCTCCTCTGTTCCATCTTCCAGCTCTTCTCTGTCCTCAGCTGCTCCATTCGTTTGCAGACCTGCGTTTACTTGCAGTGCCCCAGTAGTTAAAACCAGAAAAAAGCGGAAATTCTTTCCAACCAGTACCATCCTGCCAGTATCCAAACCGGTGAGGCTGCCGTCTGAGAACCTGCCTTCCGTGGTTCAGCCTGGTGCCTCGGCACCCGCACTTCAGCCTGATGCCTGTACCCAGCCTGATGCCTGTACCCAGCCTGATGCCTGTACCCAGCCTGATGAACTGATCCAGCCTGATGATCCTATCACGCCTGATGACCCAGTGCCCGCTGTCGAGCCAGACGATCCGGTACCTGATGACCCGGTGCCCACTGTCATGCCTGGTGACCCGATGCCCGCTGTCGAGCTAGACGATCCAATGCCTGATGACCCAGTGCCTGCGGTCATACCTGGTGACCCGATGCCCGCTGTCGAGCCAGACGATCCAATGCCTGATGAACCAGTGCCCGCTGTCATGCCTGGTGACCCGATGCCCCGCTGTCGAGCCAGACGATCCAGCGCCAGATGACCCGGTGCCCGCTGTCGTGCCAATTGACTCAGAGCCCACTGTTGTGCCTGGTGACTCGGTGCCCACTGCCATGCCAGATGACGCGGTGCCCGCTGTCGAGCCAAATGACCTGATGCCTGGTGACCCAATGCCCACTGTTGGGCCAGACGATCCAATGTCTGACCCAGTGCCCGCGGTCATGCCAGTTGACTCGGAGCCCACTGTCGTGCCTGGTGACTCGGTGTCCACTGCCTTGCCAGATGACGCGGTGCCCGCTGGCGAGCCAAATGACCTGATGCCTGGTGACCCAGTGCCCGCTGTCATACCTGGTGACCCGATGCCCGCTGTCGAGCCAGACAATCCCATGCCTGATGACCCAGTGCCCGCTGTCATGCCTGGTGACCCGATGCCTGCTGTCGGGCCAGACGATCCAATGTCTGACCCAGTGCCCGCGGTCATGCCAGTTGACTCGGAGCCCACTGTCGTGCCTGGTGACTCGGTGCCCACTGCCTTGCCAGATGACGTAGTGCCCGCTGGCGAGCCAAATGACCTGATGCCTGGTGACCCAGTGCCCACTGTCATGCCTGGTGACCCGATGCCCGCTGTCAAGCCAGACGATCCAACGCAAGATGACCCGGTGCCCGCTGTAGATCCGACGACGATCCGGTACCTGATGACCCGGTGCCCGCTGTCGTGCTAATTGACTCAGAGCCCACTGTCGTGCCTGGTGACTCGGTGCCCACTGCCTTGCCAGATGACACGGTGCCCGCTGTCGAGCCAAATGACCTGATGCCTGGTGACCCGATGCCCGCTGTTGAGCCAGACGATCCAATGTCTGACCCAGTGCCTGTGGTCATGCCAGTTGACTCGGAACCCACTGTCGTGCCTGGTGACTCGGTGCCCACTGCCTTGCCAGATGACGCGGTGCCCGCTGGCGAGCCAAATGACCTGATGCCTGGTGACCCGATGCCCGTTGTCGTGCCTGATGACCCGGTGCCCGCAGCTCTGTCTGGGGGCCCGGTGCGCGCCGCTCCGCCTGGGGGCCCGATGCCCGTCGCTCTGCCTGGGGGCCCGATGCCTGTCGCCCCACCTGGGGGCCCGATGCCTGTCACTCCGCCTGGGGGCCTGATGCTTGTCACCCCTCCTGGGGGCCCGGCGCCCGCCACCCACCTGGGAGCCCGCGCCTGTCGCCCCTCCTGGGGGCCCGGCGCCCGCCGCCCCTCCTGGGGGCCCGGCGCCCGCCGCTCCGCCTGGTGGCCCGGTGCCCGCCGCTCCGCCTGGTGGCCCGGTGCCCGCTGCTCCGCCTGGTGATCCGGTGTCCAGCTCGATGTGCCTCTGCCCGGAGTCCAGCTCGATGTGCCACTGCCCGGAGTCCTGCCCGATGTGCCGCTGCCCGGAGTCCAGCCCGATGTGCCTCTGCCCGGAGTCCTGCCCGATGTGCCGCTGCCCGGAGTCCTGCCCGATGTGCAGCTGTCCGGAGTCCTGCCCGATGTGCCTCTGCCCGGAAGTCCAGCCCGATGTGCCTCTGCCCGGAGTCCAGCCCGATGTGCCTCTGCCCGGAGTCCTGCCCGGTGTGCCGCTGCCCGGAGTCCTGCCCGGTGTGCCGCTGCCCGGAGTCCTGCCCGTGTGCCGCTGCCCAGAGTCCTGCCCGATGTGCCAGTCTTTGATATCCCGCCAGTTACCAGACCCGGGCGGTGGAACATTTTGCCCAGCTAGGACTGTTTGGAGCGTCCTGAGGCCGCCCCTTGAGGGGGGGGTACTGTCAGGAATGAACTTGCCAGTAATGGTGGGACTCGCCTGCCTTGTGGGCTGTATTTAAGGGATGGCCAGACCTGCAGTCTCTGCCTTGGTGTGTGTTTTTTCCTGGGCCCTGTATCTTGTTCCTGCATCCCTGTTCCTGTTCCTGTTCCTGTCTCTGTCTGATTCGTTGCTGACCCTGCCTGATTCGGACCTCTGCTGACTTCTCCTGTTTCATCCCTGGCTTGTGACCCCGACCATTCTCTGCCTGACCCCCCTGTACCTACCTGCCCGATTGTTATTGACCCGGCCTGCCTGACGACGCTTGCATTGTATGTACTGTTATCTGTGGGTGGTTTGGTTCGTTTGCACTGTTATGTTTTAGTATTGTACTGCGTTTATGTTTGTATTGTTAGTCTTTAATAAATTATATTGTTTATAACTTATATCTGAAGCCTGCGTTTCCCTGCGTCAGTCACATACCTCTGGTCACACCCCGGAGCCCTGACAATACCTTTGTTCTTAAACAGGATTTGTATTGCTTTTATAGACAGATTCATCTAAAGACTTTTTATTCCTCTAAACCTGTCAAAAACAGTGATCATTTACCTTTATCAATTCACAATTTTGGGGTTAAAACACAAAAGTAGGTTTATTCCTTCTACACACCTCTCCTGCTGCTGATCTGTTTATTGGCAAGGTTGAACAGGATATAAAAACTTTTATTCATGATAGTTCTAAAAGGGAGTATATACCTCACAATTTAAATCAGGAGGAAATGGCCGTTCTTACCTCCTTGTCGGCTCATCGAGATATAGTAATATCTCGCCGAGCAGACAAGGAGGTAGGAAAGGCCATTTCCTCTTGATTTAAATTGTGAGGTATATATCAAACCAGCCGACAAAGGAGGTTCTATTGTTATTATGGACACTAATAAAAAAGAACAGGAGATTCTTAGACAGTTGGCAGATACCAATACTTATTGTCAGTTGGATAGTAATGCTATATTTCGTGTACAGGAGAGGATTAACAAGATTGTCACTCAGGCAAATAAACAAGGTATTATTGATAATGATACTAAAACGTATTTAATTTCAGAATATCCTGCAACACCTATTATATATGTCCTTTCTAAAATACAGTCAGGTCCATAAATATTGGGACATCGACACAATTTTAACATTTTTGGCTCTATGCACCACCACAATGGATTTGAAATGAAACGAACAAGATGTGCTTTAACTGCAGACTGTCAGCTTTAATTTGAGGGTATTTACATCCAAATCAGGTGAACGGTGTAGGAATTACAAGTTTGCATATGTGCCTCCCACTTGTTAAGAGACCAAAAGTAATGGGACAGAATATTAATCAGAAATCAAACTTTCACTTTTTAATACTTGGTTGCAAATCCTTTGCAGTCAATTACAGCCTGAAGTGTGGAACGCATAGACATCACCAGACGCTGGGTTTCATCCCTGGTGATGCTCTGCCAGGCCTCTACTGCAACTGTCTTCAGTTCCTGCTTGTTCTTGGGGCATTTTCCCTTCAGTTTTGTCTTCAGCTAGTGAAATGCATGCTCAATCGGATTCAGGTCAGGTGATTGAGTTGGCCATTGCATAACATTCCACTTTTCCCTTAATAAACTCTTTGGTTGCTTTTGCAGTATGCTTTGGGTCATTGTCCATCTGCACTGTGAAGTGGCGTCCAATGAGTTGTGAAGCATTTGGCTGAATATTAGCAGATAATATTGCCCGAAACACTTCAGAATTCATCCTGCTGCTTTTGTCAGCAGTCACATCATCAATAAATACAAGAGAACCAGTTCCATTGGCAGCCATACATGCCCACGCCATGACACTACCACCACCATGCTTCACTGATGAGGTGGTATGCTTAGGATCATGAGCAGTTCCTTTCCTTCTCCATACTCTTCTCTTCCCATCACTCTGGTACAAGTTGATCTCGGTCTCATCTGTCCATAGGATGTTGTTCCAGAACTGTGAAGGCTTTTTTAGATGTCGTTTGGCAAACTCTAATCTGGCCTTCCTGTTTTTGATGCTCACCAATGGTTTACATCTTGTGGTGAACCCTCTGTATTCACTCTGGTGAAGTCTTCTCTTGATTGTTGACTTTGACACACATACACCTACCTCCTGGAGAGTGTTCTTGATCTGGCCAACTGTTGTGAAGGGTTTTTCTTCACCAGGGAAAGAATTCTTCGGTCATCCACCACAGTTGTTTTCCGTGGTCTTCCGGGTCTTTTGGTGTTGCTGAGTTCACCGGTGCGTTCCTTCTTTTTAAGAATGTTCCAAACAGTTGTTTTGGCCACGCCTAATGTTTTTGCCATCTCTCTGATGGGTTTGTTTTGTTTTTTCAGCCTAATGATGGCTTGCTTCACTGATAGTGACAGCTCTTTGGATCTCATCTTGAGAGTTGACAGCAACAGATTCCAAATGCAAATAGCACACTTGATATGAACTCTGGACCTTTTATCTGCTCATTATAATTGGGATAATGAGGGAATAACACACACCTGGCCATGGAACAGCTGAGAAGCCAATTGTCCCATTACTTTTGGTCCCTTAACAAGTGGGAGGCACATATGCAAACTGTTGTAATTCCTACACCGTTCACCTGATTTGGATGTAAATAACCTCAAATTAAAGCTGACAGTTTGCAGTTAAAGCACATCTTGTTTGTTTCATTTCAAATCCATTGTGGGGGGTGTATAGAGCCATAAATGTTAGAATTGTGTTGATGTCCCAATATTTATGGACCTGACTGTACATAAGGATTCTTTATACTGTCCAGAATGGCCTATTGTGTCTAATAGTCAGCTACTACTCCTTTTAGCTAAATATTTGGATAAATGTTTGACTCCCATGATTTTGAACACCCGTTCTTATATACAAGATACTCAAGATTTTTTGAATAAAATTCAACATCTTATTTTACTCCCTCATTCAATATTGGTCACTTGAGATGTAGCAAATTTATATACAGCAATCCCACATGAACTGGGGATAGAAGCCTGCAGATGTTTGTTGTTTCATTCAAAAAGTTATGATTCTTTGCAGATTTCCTTCCTATTGCAACTTTTGACAGTTGTTTTGGAGAATAATTTCTTTTTTATTTAAGAAAAATTATTATTTACAGCTCATCGGGGCAGCGATGGGTTCTAATGTCGCTCTGCCATATGCAAATGCATTTATGGATATGGTAGAGAATGCGTTTATATATCATTGTGATTTTTTTACAAGATATTGTTTGTTATTTCAGATTTATTGATGATGTCTTTGCAGTATGGACAGGTGACTTAGAATCCTTATCCTTGTTTAATACTTTATTTGAATTGTTTAATACCAGGACTTAAGATTAATATGTCAATGAGCACAACGGAAATTTCTTTTTTGGATACTCTTTTGAGAACATGTAATGAGCATATATTGTTAGTGATTTATACAAGCCTACAGATCGTAACCAGTTTTTGTTATTTTCTAGTTTTCATCCCCCTGGGGTTTTCAAATCTATACCCCGTAGCCAATTAACCCATGTTTCTAGGATTGTCAGTGACCCACAGGTTAGGGAGATCAGACTCAATGAGATGGAAGAGATGTGTACGGGTTATCCCACTGATATAGTTAAAAAAGAAAGGGATACTTTGTCTCGACAGAAAAACAGATGGTTTAATTCCCGCAGACTGCCTTTCATCTCTCAATTTTATCCCTACTCAAATCAGGTTTTAAATATAATTAAAAAACATTGGTTAGTTTTGAGTACTAATTATCCCTCTATACCAGAATTTAATCTCCCTCCGTTACCTTCTTGTCGCCAGGGAAGGACATTACATGATAGGTTAGTAAGATCAGATCAATATAATCCATCTTTATTTCCTTTAATCTTTTTGGGTCCTCATAACTTTGGCTCTTATCCGTGTCTCAGT